TTTATTAAAATTACTATTATTATTATTGTAATTTTTTTCTTTAAACGGTCTCATATGAAATTGAACCATATTTAAATTCAGTTTAGCCCTAAAACCAGCCGATAAATCAATTGATCTTACATTTATTTGAATCTTGGGCTTACAAAATAAACTTGGATTTATAGAAGTTGCTTTTGGGTTCAACTAATAGCATTAGGTCAATTTTGATAGGGTTATTATTTTTTATTGTTTTATTTTTATTTTTTTCTAAAAGAAGCATTAGATTAGTCCATTAAAAGAAGATTTATATTTATTTAAATTTGGGCCTCACTGTTCTAAAATTAGATATGAGGCTTAGAATAATTATTGACATTTTAAATTCTTTGGGACGAAATGCATTTTGTATTATCTGAGTAGATGACAGGCCCAACAAGCCTTTTGTCCTAAGGTATGATTTCCTCCAATAAGTATATTTTTGCATTACAATGTTAGTGGCTGAATAGATACTCAATCTGTACAGGCCTTTATTTAATACTTCTCTGAAGAGAAATAACACCGGTCCATAATATTAGGCCCAAATCCTTTAATTGAACCTATTTAGAAAAGTCCAATATTAGCTTGACCCGTTAACCAGATTTGTCTGACCCGTTTGAACAGAAGCTTGACTGATTTCTCCCAAAGACTCGACCCATTAGTGAAATGGGTCATCTTCCTCGAAAATTCCCAAATCACAGAAATCTTAAATTCCGTTTGGATTAGTTGTTTTTGGAATGTTTTCAAAAATTTTACTGTAACTGTATATATGAAAAACTTTTACTGTAAATATTTTTGGGGGTAATTTTTAGAAGTATTTTTAAGGATTTTTAAAATATATTTTGGGGTATTTTACAATTTATCACTTTTTTGGGATTTTTTATAAAAATTTTACAGCACCTAACCACCATCACCCCCTCCCTCCTACTCCCCTCTCTCCCTCTCCTCCTCATCTCTCTTTCCTCTCCCTCCTACCCCCTTCCCTCCTTTCTCCCTGGCCCCAAACCCCTCTCCTATTCGCAGGTGGTGGCTTGGTAGCCACTCTAGTCGCGACCTAGAAGGTTGCGGTCAGTGAAGGGGAGGGAAGATTGGGGGAGAAGAAAAGGAAGGGAGAACGGAGGAAGGAGAAGAAAAGGGAAGAGAAAAAAGGAAGGAGAGAGAGAGAGAGAGTGGTGGTGGTGATAGTGGAGAGTGATGGATGGTGGTAATGGTAGTGGTGGTGGGTAGTGCGTGGAAAAAGAAAGAAAGAAAGAATCTTTTTATTTTTTTAAAATATTTGAGATGTGTTGTATTTTTTGAGTTTTTTTGAAGTTGTTTTTAGAGTTTATTATTATAAATGTGAAACATAAAATAATTTTTCAAAAAAATGTTAAATCTAAACGGAGCCTTAATTTTTCAAATTCTAAACACCAACCACTTCCATCAAACATCATCACCACCATCACTACTTCAATCGTCATTATCACCTTCATTGCCAACCAAAAGTTCAAGTCCGGGCAGAAACATCATTCTTCATTTATTTTATTATATATGAAAATGAAAGATACAACCCTTCGTATATCTATTTTGAAAGCTTTATGAATATAGAAACCCCTTTTGTCAACTGAATCTATGATTCTTTCAATCCTTTTGATTCCAGCCGCCTGACCTCAACAAACTATCAATGCATTGTCTTCGAATTCCGTACAAACTTTGGCCTTGTCTTTATATCATGAAATCCCTTTTCTCCAAACAAATAATACGTGAAAAGTATATAGTCTCAAAGGCTATTATGAATCAAGTCCAAACCAATATTTAGAAATGTTAAATATACAAGAAGATCTAGACATATTCTTAGGGAATTCCTACATAGGTATCTAAATTTATGTAAATTGTAAAGTCAAAAATCACAAAATCCTGAGATTCGAGTCTTACTTGTACCGACATAAACAATGAGAATTTCTACATAGGTATCTAAACCTATGCAACTTGTAAAGTCAAAATCACAAAATCTTGAGATTCGAGTCTTACTTGTATCCATAGAAACAATGAGAATTTCTACATAGGTATCTAAGCTTATGTAAATCATAAATTCAAAATCACAAAATCCTAAGATTCGAATCTTACTTGTATTGGTAGAAATAGTGAGAGCATCAAAAAAATCACATTACGAGACATCACATTCTACCCCTCTTAAATAAAGTTTCGTCCTCGAAACTTCATGTCAGTAAGAAGAAAGATCATATGCACCAATTAGATCTAACTTGAGTAACGCAATCACGAACAAATTCGCAAAATTTGCAAAATGATTTGATATATTTTCAGTGATAAAAAATAATGATAATATTTGTATTGTCGTAAAATCACACCAGGATACTCAAAAATTTCATGCACAAAATTTTGCCAAATTCTCATTTTAAAATGTAATGCTTTTGTCATAACGTTTGCAAAATATTTTGCTACGTATAGAATATCAAACTTACACAAGTTCAGAAAGCCGAATGTGTTTGAAAATATCTGAGTCAAGTAACTATGTTTCTTATACCATTAGAATTTACAATAAGACGAGAATCTTAATAGTAATGATGGTTAGATTCTTTAAGTTTTTTTTTTAAAGCCAAAATTGGGGACATTAGAAATCCAATATAAACGCCAATGTTACATGGGAAGAAAACCCTAAGAAAGCCCTATACGACTGATTTTCATACTGAGTGCTTTTTTTTTTTTTTTTTTAATTAACAAAACTTACTAGATTCTAGTCATATGCTTTGGAAATCAAAATTGGAAAGTTAACTACAAACTCTAACATTTTGAAAACCTGATTGCGATATAGCTCCTCATGGCAAATGTTTCTATGTAATCCCAACCATAAAAACATGCAAAATTCCATCCCCGAATCTATTAAAATCATAAAAGTTTCAGAGATAATATGACTAATAAATAGGGTCTCCAATTTTTTTTTTTTTTTTTATCTTTTTCTTTAGAGATAACTGCTTATTTTAAGAAAGCACGGAATAATAACTTATTCCTCAATTTTCATCTCGGTTACTATTAGTCCCTAGATTCGCATCCTATCCGAAATAAACCCCAAAAAAAATTAGGTCTAATTTTTCTTCGCCATCTCTCACGAGATCAGAAATGCAATTACTCTTACAAGTGCTTCCTAGTTGTAGTAGTATTTTGACTAGAGTAATACAATAGCAGCATCAGGAGCAGCTTATGGAGGTTTCGTTCTGGAAACCTAACCAACGAAATTTTTAAGGTCTGCCAACATAATAACGAATTTTTAAGGTCTGCCATAAGGTCTACGCTTTTATTATCTAGTTTGCTACCTAGTGTTATTTTTGCCATAAAAGATCATCTATAGAACTGCCAATCGACAAAATATATAATTGTCATGAGATTTACCTTGGTAAAAATTGTAACTCGAGTGAGCTTCAAAAAATACACCAAAAAAAAAAAATGCAACTCGAGTATTTTCCTTTTTATGAGATGTGGCAGTGGAACAGTACTAATTATAACTTTAGACCATTTTGGCTCTTCTTGTGTATTATTGGCACAAAAAAGAGGGAACAGAATGTGGATGCTAATGAACCTGCTAAAAGATTTATCCTCAAGCTGAGCGCGGTGACAATATCTACTCAAATATTTCCCTTTTATGACGCTAAGTTGAAAACAGATTCTGGAAATGTAATTGTTCAGCATCAAGGCAGAAAGTAATCATGAATCATACTTTTGAAGATTTTGGTCGCTCTTGTGTTTAGCCAATAAAAAAAAAAAAAAAAAAAAAAAAAGAGGAATATAATATTCGTTTGATGGTTGTTTTTGTTTAGTTTTGTGAAGATTAGACAATAGCGTATTGTGGGGTGGGTAACACAACACTGGGATGATTGATAAAGTCCAATTTTGTGCCCTCGTCCCTGTTGTCTTGATGCTGAATATCATTCGTCCTTTTCTTGGTCGATGAGTTATCAATAAACAACATAGCTCTTTTAGTTTTAAGGGATAATTCCAGAAACCTCCCCTGAGGTTTCTAATACTGTCTTTTGAGCTCCTCTAAGATTTGAAAAATTACACTTACATCCATTGATTTGATAGTTTTAGTAACAAAGTCTTAAAATAATATTGACTTGGTCAATTTTTTAAATGAATACCCAAAAATGCCCTTATATAATGAGTTTTAATTTATTTTTCTATATAATTATAAGATTATCTAGTATAATTATAAGGAAATTGTGTCAAAATTTTCATGTCCATACATATTATTTGATAAACAACTATAACAATAATTTTATCATTGTGATAAGATACTTTTGATGGTACTTTATTATGGATTTAGATTTATAAGATAGAAAAGAAAATGTTGAAATAATTCATTTAGACTTTGTGAATTTTTTGGGTAGTGGGATTATCATAATTTCGTAGTGATTTTCGGCCTTTTTTTTAATTTATTGTTAATTTTAGTTCCAAAAAATAGAAAACAAAGATCAGCAAGATTACATATAAAATTAATTTGTCAAAAAAATCACTAGTTCGACATTTGATTACAATAGAAACTAGAAACAATAGTGGTAGCTTTACAGTTTTATTGGTGCAAAATTAAAAAAAAAGGAATAAGAAGGAAAAAGAATGAAAAAGTAATTTTAAAACTCATTCTAAGTATAAGCATACCAAATAAGAGAATTTCATTAAAATATTTAAGGATAAAATTGTCATTTTAAATGATAAGAGAGGTATGCGTAATTTTTCAAATCTCAAGAGAACTCAGTGAAATTGTCAGGAATCTCAAGGGAATTTCATTAAAATAAAATATTATTTTAAATAACAATAAAATGTTCTTAAGGGTTTCTCTTTTTTTTTCTTTGATAATAAAAATCATAATTTTATTCGTGAAATCCGCATTAACGGTAGAAAATATATCAGAAACAACATAGATACAACAAAATTAAAGGTCTAAAGACACATTAGATCTGAACAATAACCAAAATTTACATTTGAAACTCCAATATATTCAACAAATTGATATCAATCGCTTTGACTACCATGAACATATGTACATATCTTCTACCATCAGATCTATTATTTAACTTCTTTAAGTTCAAATATCTTGTTGAGATGGGAGAATACGCACATTAGAAATCCTGAAGAGATTTTATTACAAACCAAAACAAACAAGAAAGCAATTAATGATGGCCTCCCTCATAAAATGTTCATACTTCATAAGTAAAAATACATCACGAACACTTAAATTTTATTCCAGATTTTCCAACTGAAGCTATTGACATCAATTGCCTTGATCCTGAGTGGAGATTGAGTAATGGGTAATATTTATGTCATCTTCGGGTCTGGCTGGTGGATCTAACTTGTTCTTTACTCTCAGTTGCAGGTATTCCTTGTACATAAATCCTCTATATTTGGGAGATTCTCCAATCTCTGTAGTAAATTTTGGCAGTGGCTCAATCCATTTGTCTCCATGTAAATTATCAAAAAATACGATGGAGCAACGACTTTTTCCTTTCTGCCTGATTACCCTATGACTCGCACTCTTAAACTTGTCATTGCTTAATACCTTACATATGAAAAATATATGCAGAATTAACTGAATTTATGCAGGATTAACTACACGATATATATCAAACAAAAGCATAAAAGCTAGGAAATGGATTGATTTACCTGAATCACATCACCTATATTGACCACTATGGCACCTTTTGCAGGTAGTATTGGAATCCACTGCTCATTTTTTAGTACTTCCAGGCCTCCAACTTCATTCTGGAAAATGAAAGTGAGGCAGTTGGCATCTTTATGTGCTGGTGTTCCATTAATCTGATCAGCTTTCTCAATAGGGAAGTAATGAACTGCCTTTAAGAAGTCACAGCTCCTATCATCATTGTTGTATTCTGTGAGGAAGTTAGGAGCAAGGCCCAAGGATATGCTTACAATCCTCTCCATCAACCACGACAATTCGACCAAGTTAGGAAAAATTTCCTCCAGTGCATTTCTGACAATGTTAATGAAATCACCACACATATCGACATGTCAAAACAAAATTTTGACTTTGCAAATTGAAAAAGTGAAATCAGAACGATGCTACAGCTTTAATCAAGAGATGATCCTTCGCTAAACAGAGTGGCTTGTTTTTGGTAATAGATGTGCTACTTCATAAGAGGGATTTTCCTTTTTTGGTGCATTGAATATGGCAATCTTAAGATTCTACAATTATTGTCAAATCGGATTTAGCAATGTCAGCAACCACCTAGATTATATACTTAATGCCCAAAGCAGAGAGTTGGTCTACTAACTTTTGGACGTAAATCACAAGTCGACAATGGATAAACTGAGTCACTTTTAAGTATATTTAGACGTAAATCACGAGTCGACAACGGATAAACGGAGTCACATTTAAGTATATTTGTGATCAATCAATCCTTCCATATCTTTTCGACGTGGGACATGGCCACATAGGGTGTTGCAAATTGGGCAATAAGACAGGAATGATTTTTTACCAGATAAGGGAAGGGTCGCTTTAATTTGATTCAAGTCCAAGACAAGCCACTAATATATTAATTGTTTAGTTTCTAAATTCGAATTCTGTATCTTGCAGTTAAGGGTGGAAAGGATGGGAGGGTATAATAAAAAAATGTATTAATTCCTCAGCCACCCAATTGTTTAGGTTCCCAATCCATTATAGACAATGTAGGCACAGGTTGAAACTTTTTCAACTCTCTACGGACTTTCCACATAATTGATTCATTGCTCAAGACTTATAGCACAATCCATGCACTCAATTTATAGCATAACCTTGATGAAAAAGAAAGTTCGAACATACCCGAATTCAGGAGGATTTTCAGGATAGATATTAAGGCCTGAACTTGGAGATAGAATCAAAAAATGTTCATTCCCGTCATTGGAGAAGTCTTGAAAGTTGACATAACCAGGCGGTGGTGATAGGCCAGGCTTCAGCAGAGATTTCTTTTTCTCCTCCATTGGATTGTTGAAGAACTCCATGGACAGGTCAATGGCTCTAGCCATTAGATCCAAGGGCACCCCATGGTTCACTACTTGGAAGAAGCCAAATTCTGAACAAGCTTGTCTTATTTCCTCCGTTGCCTTTTTCTTGGCATCTTCATCTCCATCTCTCAGGAAGGGTTCAAGATCAATTGTGGGAGTAGTTGAGCTAGCCATGCCCGTCAATTTAGTTCAGTGCCTTCACATTTTGTTGGTTCATATTTAGTAACATGTGGTTCCTATATAATTAGTGTCTCGTATGTATAATGTCTGGACCGGAGGCGGGTATGGTTGGCAATTTCATACAATTGTCAAGTTGTTATACTTTTTATACTGTATAGCGTGCGTTTATATAACTAGTAATAACTCACATGCTTTGTATGTGAATATATTCTTCCAAGATATAAAACCTTTAACATACTAAATTTTTGTGTAAAACTTTGATTGTTAGCATAATATAAACTAAGAAAGTATAAAATGAACAAATTTAAGTAATTGATAGTTGTAACAAAACGTCTATTGTATACAAAGTAATTAAAAATTTATTATGCATTCTGCAGTTATAAAAACTTTGAAGACGGAAGATTATTGCATTTAAACTAAGTTGTGGGCATGACATTGACTAAGAAATCATATAATAAATAAAATTAAACAATTGTTAGTTCTACAACACTTCTATTATACACAAAGTAATTAAAAGTTTATTGTGCATATTACAATTACAAAAACTCAGAAAATGGAATATTATCGTATCTAAACTAAAATGTTGCATATTTTACTTGAATTATAACAGTAAAAAAAAAGGAAAAACTAGTACATGCAACAAAATTAAAACGTTCTAATTTGTATACAACAAATTTTTATTAGTTTCAGTAGTTGTAAACCTTTTTTGTCGTTTTTTTTATAATTATCAATAACTTTTTTTTGGAAGTTTTCTTAATCAATATGACATAATATAATGAATTTAATCATCAATTTAACCTTTTTTGTTCTTATTAACTGTTTATAACTTTTTATCTTCTTATTAATCGTAATTTTCTTCTAAACCAATACGTATATAAAATATAATTAACTTTAATTATTCCTACCCTATAATGTACACACACATTGTACATACAGTACACCAATCATATTTAACCGGACCTGAACCAACTGTACGTCGCCATTCCTATAATGTCTAAAGCCTAAAGGATCTCATATATGCTATAGTGTCTCATAGATTATTTTATAAAGAGAAAGACTTTTTAACTCATCGTCAGAAACTCAACGAATTTGGCCGGATATGTTTTTTAACCTACAATCATGAACCATGTGGGCCACTTATTTCATGTATGTATAGGAATCGAACATGAATTTTTCGAGATTTACTCTTCTTCTTTTTTATTGTTTTTGCCATTTTGGCTTGTCTTACGTTTGGTTGCTAAAATCCAAGCCCCAGCTGCAGGAATCTGATTGAGAAATGCCAAATGCTGCGACCAAGGCCAACAACCAATCAGCATCTGAACGTTCAGTTTTTTGTTTTTTTTTTAAGCAAGCAGAATTAACAGCACATGTACACAAGTATTAGTCAAAAAAGTTCTTCTTAAACCCTATTTGTTAGCCAATTCAGCACTCTTAAACATGTTTGATAACAAAAAAATCAAATGTCATAATTAATTAAGTAATTCTAAATTGTTTAGGTAAAACTTACTTAAAATAATAAGTGATAAGCTGTTCACTTATCTCTTAACCCAAAATACACTCAGACGTTAAGATTTCAGTATTTAACAATTCAAATTAATTTTAGATTTCAAATTTAGTTTTAGTCTGCTCTAACACTTTAACGCACAAACACAAGTAGCAATTATAGTTCTTGTTAGTCAGCTCCAACACTTCTGGGCACATAAATTTTTTTTTTTTTTTAAAAACCTTGTAGTTTTATTTATTGGACAAGCAATGAAGTGTTCATAAAGGGCCTATGCTGTACACAATTACAATTCCTTGTACAACTTTACTAGGAAACACAACAAACAAAACTAATTAATGTAAGAGGGGGGAGGTGATGTTGAGCATTTCAATCTTAACCCTTGTCTTCTTTTGCCTTCATGGCATGGCATATTATGCGAAAGAATCTTTTTTCCTTTTTTTTTTTCTAAAAATTATCTCTTGCAGCATTGGCATCATTGAGGGTTTTTTTTTCTTTTTTTTTTATATGACTTTAACCTGAGAAATCCCTCAATTATCTGCGGTTCAAAATAGCAATTTTATAAGTTTTTAAGAAGAATGTGAACCAAAAGAAGATTTGGTATACAACTAGTTGTACTAAAAAAAGAAGCACTAGTATATATGCACTATCAATATATATAAAATTTACTCTAAAACTATTATTCGTTTATTTACAAATCGAACTCTACCGTTCCCATATGGTTCTGTAATACCAATTATTCTTTCATTTGTTAATTTGTTTCTTCTTGTCCTGAGTAAGGCTTGAATCTGTATATCGAAAATTCTTGAAATCTGCTACCAGCTACTGATGCTTGCAAACAAGTAGCAAGACAAGGTTAGAAAACTTTCAAAAAATAGGATGATGCTAAGCCTTTTTTTTTTTTTTTTTCTGGGAATACTAGCCCTAATTTTATTAAATCGTTAAAAAGAAGGGAGACATGAGGCTAACCTCCATTACAAGAGTGAATAGAGACTGTATGGATTAGAAATTATTTAGGATTTTAATTAGGTTATCTTCTATGATTTTATTGTTATTTGTAATTAATTTTAGTAGGAATATTATTGTTGTTACCGGCGTCAAAGGAGCCTGCAAAGGAAAGAGAAAGAAATCGCCCGAATGATGGCCGTTTCCACTGGCAAGCTTTCGACAATTTCTAGCCTAACGACTGGTAGAAAGACAGGCACCAGATTATTGGCAGATTTTTTTTTTGTTTCCTTATTTTCATTGTATGTTCTTAGGGTTTAGTATTAGCTCATTTCCTATTCTAATTAATTGTTTTAGGAATTTCTTAATTATCACATAAGTTACTAGACCACTATTTTTAGCCTATATCTCTATGTCTTTTGTATTCAGTCTTTTATCAAATAATATATCAAATTTTGGTTGGTTACTAGCAATTGTGAGAGATTCCTCTCGTTCTTGCAAATCTGTGATTTGTATTCAGGAATTAGTTCGATGAAACTTGTTATTATTAAGTATTGTACTTATTATTTTAAATTTTACTTATTATTCAACTTTAAGTATTGTACTTATTTAAGTATTTTACTTATTATTCAACTTTTAGTATAGTACTTAATTAATTTTAAATGTTAAGTATTGTACTTATTAGTTAATATTTATTTTGAAATGCTTGAAGTGCTCGAAGTGATGGGTCATTAAAAAATTTTGATTAGATTTTTCTTTAAAAAAATCAATGAGAAAGGCTCAATTGAACTCGAAATTCAGCTCGAGTAATACTCAAGCTCAAGCTTGAGTTCTAAAACAAGGTAATCAACGATCTTGAACTCAGATTAATTCCAATTTTACGAATTTCTCATGAGCCTCCCAAGCGTGGAACATGTTTAGCATTTGGTGGGGGATCAAGAATATGTGGAGTAAACATGCTTGTTAAACTACAAATTTCGATTTTTGTACATCAATCGGTTGTAGGCTAGGGGTAAGTACTATCGTTGTTGGTTAAGCAATGGCAATTAATTGATAGGTGGAGGGTATTAATTTTCTTCAAGTTCATTCAAAGAGAAGGAAAAGAAAAATCTTTAATACTTAGTTTCTCGTCCTTGCAAGTCTGTTTTCCATGCTATGAAATTCCTTACATTATGCTTGCAAGTCTGTTTTATTACAACAGAACTCATGTTTTAGCTTCTCAGGCTAGCAATGTATATAATTTGGTAGAGTGAAACGAATCCTTTTTCTCTTCTGTGGCTTCTTAATGACACTTAATTAGGTTGACGAAGATCAAAAAATGCAAAGGACTTCTTCAGCAACAAAATCCTTAAATAATGCGAAGAAGACAAATGGTTAGAAAAATGAAAAGGAGTGTCTGCTACTTTGAGAATTGGAATTCTGAGTTGCAATCAGAATTTGCGGTTGTTCAACACCAGAAAAAGTTGTTTTGAGTCTCAAAAAAAAAAAAAAAAAAAATATATATATATATATATATATATTTATATATATATATATTGGTTTGTTTCGAAGCAGCTAAGAATCTTTTACTTTGCAGTTTGGAAAGATCATGAGATTAGAAATGGAAAAAAATCACCCAAAAAGCAAAAAAAGGAAGAATTTCAAGGTTTGCAACTGATCTAGTCATTTTGGTGGCTTTTAATTAGTTACGTGAGTAAAATCACTAGTGTTGATCACTGTTGTTCTTTCTTCTGGGATTATAATTCATAAGGTCCATTCACCTTTTTTTTCAGGCTTCTAGGCTGCCTGCATCTTCCTGAAGTACAAAGTTTACGCAGTTAGAAGTCTTCAGGTCCTGATGTTCCATTATTCTCAGATCGACCATAAGATCCCAGCGCCTGTCTTGATTGTATTCTTTGGAAAAGTTTCAAGGCAGAAAAAGACGGTTATTTATGCATGATGCTCTCAAGAAGTTCGCTGATATTTGAGGGGAAAAAATATGAATATTTATGATAACAATTAAAACGGACAAAGCCAACAACAAATTGGCATCTGTACATTCAATTCTTTATTTTTCTTTTTCAACAAAATTATATTGATCAAGCAGAATGATCAAGAGGTATCTCACAAATATCAGTCATAATTCTTGTCAGTCATGGGCAAAGTTATACTTGCGTGAAAACGATTAGAAGATAAGGAAGTCACTCTTTAAGCAGGCAGTTTTCTGGGTTAGAAACTGAAGCCAGAATCAGGTGGAACATCATGACACATTCATTCTTGTCAGATGACATATTCGACCGGCCGCTTGACATAACCTGCCGGAAGAAGTGCTCCAGATTTTGGACTACTAATCTGGATATGTTAATTGTTAAGTACGTTTCTCAGAGCACCATTGCATAATAGACTTGGGGGTATCCGATGCTAATCGAAAACCTTGACATCATATCCCAATCTGAGATTGGACTCTCCTGAATGCTGATGTGAGGAAATGCTTTATCAATTGATTTTAACCTCCAACTGCACCTTCTGGGATATGTAATGCAGCATCTGTGACTGTATTAGTGGCACTAAAGATTTAGTTGATTGGACTGACATTGCTTGCAGCACCGTTGAAATAAAAGCTCAGCAACTTACAACAGCGGTCATTCCTGAGGTTTGGAGTTGTGGTAGGA